AAATATGCGTTGATTTCCTTAATAAATGATCTGTTGCCTGACCCTTGCCTTCTGTCGTTACATTTGGTGAAGCTGCCTGTCGCAAAATGAAAGTCCCATGGCCTGCAGCTTTTGAAGAAGGAGATATATGGATCTTCTTGAGGGACTTCGAAGCTATTGCAGTTGAATGGCGTGCAAGAGCCATCAGCGAAGACGGTTGTACTTGGAACGCTACTGAGAGGCCGGGCGAAGGCAGCATATGATACTGTGAGGCAAACAGAGGGGCAAGCAACTTGGAAGTCAGTGGTTGAACGCTTGAAGCAGGAGTTTGACAGCCCGATGGACAGAGAGCGGGCAATGCAGCAGTTTCGCACCATGAAGCTGGGAGTTGACGGTGACCCTCTCGTATTGGCGCTGACCTTGACAAGCCTACTTCGTCACGCTCTACCAACACTGGACGAAGATTCTGAGGCACAAATGTTGGCGTCCCAGTTTATGGGGAGTGTCCCAGAATATATATCCCAACAGCTACATCTGGTTAACGCCGTACAGCCACTGGACATCGGGGAGCTTGCGAAGGTGATCAGACGACTGTTAAGTAAGACGGTTGCAGCGGTAGAGCCACCAAAATCTGAGCAGAGTGAGAAACAAATCGAAGAGTTGCAACGTGAAGTGGCCGCGCTGAGACTGAGCGTGCGGAGAGACCGGTGTTTCGCATGTGGCAAACTGGGGCACTGGAGAGACCGCTGCCCGGAGAGACGACAAAGAAGGATTTTTAAAAGATATACTGTGTCTTCTTCCTGTTTTCCGAGACTTGAGGTAATAGGGGCTATCGAGAAAGGGGCTGTGTATTCGAAGTTGCGAGTGAATGATCAAGAAGTAGTATGTTTAGTACATACGGGGGCGGCTGTGTCTCTAATAGATAAGAACTTATGTGTGAGTGTTAGTCCATGCTCATTGACAGTACAAACGGTAGGTGGGCACGTATTGCGTATCACGGGTAGATCGAACTGCACGGTCGTGGTTGGCAGCTGCGAGGTGACGTTCCCTTTCATTGTTGTGCCCGAATTACGACGGACGATACTTGGCGCGGATTTCCTGCGGGAGATTGGTGCGATAATCGACACGCAAGCGAAGGTTGTGATCACGAAATACGGACGTATCAGCATGTATGAGACCAGTAAGATAGCAGCGGTTAACCTGTCGAAGGTACACAATATGACAGAGTTAATTAATAAATACGATCATCTGTTTACTGGAGATGGGGACCCATACGGTTATTGCGATAAGGTGAATCATGAAATTCCGTGGCCCGAAAGTAACGTCATTTACCACGCGAAGAGTTCCATGTCATTTAGAAGGCAAAGTTGAACGACAGGTGCGAGAGATGTTAAAAGATGATATTATTGAAGAAGCTGATAGCCCGTACAACTCTCCAGTGCTGTTAGTAAAAAAGGCGAATGGGAAGTATAGATTCTGCGTTGATTTTCGACAGTTAAACAGTATGACAGAATTAAGACCGTGTGTCATGCCAACAGTAGTAGAAACTTTAGATCGCCTACAAGGTGCGAATTTGTTTTCAGTTCTCGATCTTCGCTCAGGATACTGGCAGATACCGATAAAGCCAGGGGATAGAGATAAGACGGCATTCATCGTGGGTCAGACACAATATCGATTTAAACGCATGCCGTTTGGACTAGCAGGTGCACCGTTCACGTTCAGACGACTGATGACGCTATTACTTAAGAACTTGAAAAACGTTGAGGTGTACGGTGATGATCTCGTCATATTTAGTCAAAACGAAAACGATCATGTGAACCATGTGGAAGCCGTGCTGCGACGCATCGAAGAGTTTGGACTGCGCGTCAACAAAACCAAGTCTCAGATAGCCGAAAAGAATGTAACTCTTTTGGGACATAAAGTGGGAAATAGTGAGATTAAACCACTACCGGAGAAAATCTTGACGATAAAGACGATCCCGGCCCCGAATTCAAAGAGGAAATTGAGACAATTCTTAGGTAGAGCGGCGTTTTATAGTCGCTTCGTGAAGAACTTCAATGAGATAGCAGCCCCTCTGTACAGGCTACTAGGTGAACCGAAGTTTGTTTGGTCGGAGGAACCGCAGAAGACATTCGACAGGATTAAACAGCTGCTCGACCACCAACAAATGACGCTAAAGCTACCTGTACCTGGAAGACAGTTCACAGTGTGCACAGACGCCAGTGACTACGCCATAGGTGCGGTCCTAAGACAGGGTGAGGGAATCGTTGAGTATGCCAGTCGGGTTTTGACACACACAGAGCGAAAGTATTCAACGATAGAGAAAGAATGTTTAGCGATGGTATGGGCAATCGACAAATGGAGACCTTATTTACTCGGCCGACGGTTCCACATCGAAACGGATCATAAGCCGCTACAGTTTCTGAAGACAGCGAGAGACCCACGAGGGAAATTGTCACGGTGGATGTTGCGTCTTCAGGAGTACGATTTTACCATCTCACACGTTCCTGGAAATGAAAATGTCTTGGCAGATTTGTTATCGAGACCAGAAGACGAGTCTGAGTTGCCCGAGATCGCGTACGGAGTGCATGCAGTAGAACAAGGCCCACTAAGACTGGCACGCAGACAAAGGTTGGACGATACGCTGAATACAGTAATACAGGTGATCACTAACGGAACAGAAGTGGATCCAGCTACAGCGAGTAAGGAGCTAACCACACTACTCAGACAGAGAGATCGACTAAGAGTGAATGTCTACGGGACTCTGACCTGGCGAGAGGACGACGGAAGCTGGCTAGCTGTCATACCTCAATCGTCGCGCCACGACATGATAGAAGAATGCCACCAGCTAGCACATACCGGAGTGGCCAGAACAACCGACCTCTTGAGACAAAGTATGTACTGGCCAGGTATGAGAGAAGACGTAGCAAGATATGTACTTGGATGTCCACGGTGCCAGCTAATGAAAGGCGACCGGTGCATACGACCACCACTTCAGTCGATTCCAGTTACGGCGATAGGTGTTTTGTGGTCCGTAGATGTTATGGGTCCATTTCCTCAGAAATCCAATGGTAATCAGTACCTCTTGGTGATGACGGAACACGCGACACGATGGGTAGATGCCGTAGCAATCCCAGACCAACGCGCAAGGACCGTGACAGATGCAGTAGTTAGACACATCGTTGCAGACCATGGCGTACCAAAGACAATACTGACAGACTAAGGTCCGTGTTTCGAAAGTGAAGAATTTACTTCCCGTTTGCAGCAGCTGGGCATCAAGAGGATCCGAACGACCCCATACCATCCACAAACGAATGGCCTGACGGAGAGAAACAACCGTACGCTGAAGGAGTGGCTGGCCTCGAAGGGCGGTAACTGGGAAACGGAGCTGCCACTGATTCTACTAACACATCGTGCCACCACCCAGGAAACAACGAAAAAGTCACCCTTTCAACTGATGTATGGTAGAAAACCACGATTACCGATACACAACGAAACCTGGCCCCTTCACCGAAAGTGCAGTACGACGAAATTAAAAGCAGAACGGAAAGAAGCTGTCAGGAATGTAATGCAGAAGCAGCGGGGGGATGTCGCGAAGTCTCAGCTGAGAGAAAAGACTCAGTGCGTTACCTTCTCAGTCGGGGACCAAGTGAAGTGTAGAGACAGAAGATATGCTGTCGGATGCGGGCCAGGTTCACGCAAACTCCTTCCAAAGTGGGAAGGACCATACACAGTCACAAAAAGACGGGGTCAAGTATATACCATCAGAAGAGGTGATAAACAAAAACGAGTTGACGCCAGTCAGATCCAACGATGGGTGCATTGGGACAAGCCGGTCTGTAACAATCATCAACGAGAGAACGCATCACCCAGAAGGTCGGAACGCCTGCGCGCGAAGCTATTTGACGGGGGGACGAGTGTGGTGAGAGCTGTCTACTAGCCAAATTGGTAGACAGTAATTTACGTCAATATTTACGTTCCCAAGATTTGTCGTGAGAAAATGTGAACAAAGATTGATTCAAAACCGACCACAGCAGACTTTGCGTAGGCGGATGCAGTTAACATATAGAGGATTTGGCATTCAAGAAAGTCACAAATAGATGAAAGATTAACTTTACGTGAGAAACAACCAATCGGAAGACTGTGTTTGTTTGCTTAAATATCCATAGTAATGTACATGAAAATATATAAATATGCGTTGATTTCCTTAATAAATGATCTGTTGCCTGACCCTTGCCTTCTGTCGTTACAAGCATACTGTAAGTGGATAAGACGCCAACCTGCTAACAAGTCAATCCCAACGTCACAAAAATTAGATGGTCAATTTTAACTAGCTAATCAGTCATTCAGTTAAACAGTGCCGTCGTAGCCATCAATCCTTACTTTTTGTAATAATTGGATTGACCAATCAGTACTTTATTTCGCAAAGATAACTAAAATACTGAGGTTACCGAGGGATCCTCTATTTTCACTGTGGCATCAGTTTATGATGGAAATTATTTCCCTCTACACCAGTGCACTTTATTCACTAGCACAGTAATCGTTTTAAGCAAACCGTTAGCTTCAGAAGATATGAATGCAGACAAGTCTCTTTTGCATTATTCAGTAAACAGTACTGCTGTACTTTGTGATATATGTAGAAGCTGATCCTGAATCGTGCATAATCACCATTCTTACGGTTGCACCATAAAATACTGTTATTAAAATTAAGTACTAAGATATCTAGTTTGCCTGAACATTTGTAACGTAAACGATGGGGACTTTACTGTTAGTGAAAAGAATTCCCAGAAAATAGCCAACTACTCAATTTCTTTTTTGTTCAGACGTGAATTACTAAGGTTTATTTGCAATGGTTACTTTACAGTATACTTTAAGGTGAAAACAAAACAAAACAAAAACTGATTGCTATTAAAAAAGTCGGCAGTGCAGTAAAATACATTTCTGTAAAATGCATACACGCAGTTAGGCTGAAAACATAAGAAATGCATCAAGAAGCCTAAGTTAAACTGAGAGTAACTTACGAGACCTTGATATCTGAATAAATCACTGACTGTGCGGATCATTAACCAGCAAGACCAAATAAACTCGAATCGAAGATCCGTAAAATATTCCAACAATAATGCAAGCCCCCAAGCCAGAAAAACTTTAAAATAGGTCCCAGTTCTGAAAGCCCAAGAAATATAGATATTAGTGTGGTAAGAACGTTATACATATCAATTTCACTGATCTATCAATTAAGTAATATAAAATGGAGATATTAAGATTTCGTCTGTACATTATAAACAAGGTTTTATAAACAGGTGAAAAACCTTGGACAACAGAGTATCAATATTAGGTGGTAAATTTAGCAAAGCACATTGAATATATATGAAAATAATAACTACGATGTGGATGTAGAATACTGGCATATTAGCCTTGTAAATGAGTAGTGAAATGTCAATCGATATATCCTACAGTGATAAAGTTTCCACAAATCTCTGGTAAATGTGATCAGGGAAGGAATCGTAAGACCAGTGTTTCGGTTAAGTTTTCCTCTTATTGGCTTTATCAACGTGGAAATTCATAAAAATGTGCAGGTTGTCTTACTTCTCAGTGGCCTTTTCTGAAAAGTTTTTAAGTTCCATCCTTTTCTGGGATCGTCACACTTCAGAATCCATTTCTCTAATCAGCCTAAATAGATTTTGGGTATTACCTACTGCTGATACCTTTTTCACTTTTTTAGCTTAGCATGGCTTGCATTAACTGCAGACTTTCAGTCAGCTAACATCTAAGTAGTTTTTACTCTTCGATAGGCTTTGATGCAGATGGGACTAAGTTGAAAGACCCAAATGGGATAGACAAAAACGACTGAAATCAAGCACCCAGCTAACAATTCGGAGAACGTATACAACTGATCATTCATGTACAATTTTGTATTTTAATTTAACAAACATTTTTGCACTACGCAGATTAACAATATTAAAGGTGTGACGTAGTTAAGGATTTTGCAGTACAACATGTACACGAATCACTCATTCCGATGATGAAGCGTGTATAATCAAATAACAGCTCCAAGTTCTCATCCTCAACCTGAGGTTAAAGTCTACTATTGCAAACTCTGATTCAGTGGTTTGAATCTAAGCGTACAAAACAACACGTTGTAGTCCTACATGAAAATGTGAGGAAAAGGAATGCCTATTGCATAATCATTTAAGGTCGTTAGCTTTTGTGAACCAAACATGTTTACCATCCGGCAGATTTATTTAATTAGTGAGATGTGGTTAGTTATATGAAGTTGACTTTCTTATGGCACCGAAACTACTTGCTAGTCTTTTCATCTATATGACCGAAGTGACGCGCCATCCCGACCAGACGCTGTGAAAAGTTAATCAATCAGAAGTTCAGTCTACGACAAAACAATGGCAGACACTACGCTGAAATTTTACAATCAATGCAGTTAAATATGCAATAAACAGAATGACTGCATGGTGTAATCTTCGTATGCAGAACTAGAAACTGATCGCGACATCAACGTCACTGGCACACGGGGTTCTTCCGATAAATGTTAACTAAATACTTAGGTAGTCAAGCCCAAACAACAGTCGCAGAAATAAACGGGCACTGATGATGAGACAACTTCAGATGCTAAAAGATACAGAAACGTTTAATTTAATAACTCTCAACAAGAGAAATACGGAAGAATGAGCTGAGCTTGACATTTTGGTAATTAACGTGCTGAATGATAAAGTCGTGTTGATCTGCTGGCTTTATTCTAAACTCATCAAACATCCTTAAACGCCTGCGGAATCATACAAACAGGTCCTGACACTTTTGTCTCAGATTAAAAACGTTTTGCAGTATCAGCAGGAGTTAGAGGACCTATATCTCCATTCAGGTAGGGGTTAAATGATGAGCAGCTATAGAGTAGCTGTAGGCTAGTTGAACTGCTTATCGAAATGCATTAAAAATTCCACCAACAAAAGTGACATAGCTGTTAATAACAACTAGTGAATTTAGATATTAGATTGGTCAGGAAATTATCACGATCTCCAAAACCACTCAACAGTACTCTTGAGTTTTACGATTTAAAAAGATGTAAGGGTGTTTAGAACTTAGCCAGTATTCAGAAAACTGACACTAACTCTCTAAAATTTACAAGAGAGAAGCACTAAATGAAACAAAATAGAAGGGCCGAAAGAAATGATCATATGCAAGAGATGCTGAGGGGTTCTAAAGTTACAGTGACACTGACAGATGAAAGAAGAACAACTCTAATCTCGCTTTTAGCGTTGAGCATTACAGATGATAAAAGATATTCATTGCTCATTTTTAGATCCTTAACGGACACCACAAAAGATAAATGGAGAAATTACTCTCTGGTTTTAGCATTTGAATCTTTGCAATGGGTGTTATATTGGATCCCTGAGTGAATGGTTGATTTTATCAACTCACACAACCTGGTAAGTAAAACTGTTTATTTTAAGCCTATTTCTAACACTAGATAATTTATTCCAGGCAGTGAAAAGAAGAGCTGAGAAGTAACTGGTCAATATACAGAATGGTTACCGGATATCAGTAAACTGGGTCGTCCTAGCATGACATAGAGGAGATTGTGTGAGGAAGATGAAAGAGTTTGGGCCATGGTGGACCCAGATAAAGACGGCCAAAAATAGAAGTGGAGATGTGTTGTTGAAGCCCCATGTTGCACTCGGAACCCAATAATAAACAATAACATTAATAATAAAAATATTATTACTGATGATAATCGTAAACTGGACTTATACACACTCAGACTATTTACTCTTGTGACACAAACCAGAGCACGCGAAAGTCGACTGGACCAAGTCGTAGCACCAAAATACAGTGATTTTATTACAGGAAAATTCCTTTTTTACTGTTGCCGAATGGGGAGGTATGCATTACAAGCCTGAAGCACTCACTGTAATGGAAACCATTAGTCGCAGCAATTAATATGCATAATCTTTAAATACAGCGTAAATTTTGCTGCACTTAGTATTAGCGACTACATGCAGGCTCACATAATATACCATCAAATAAGTAAAATGTGGTTACAAGTACAGCATAGCGAAATGAGAAACGATTAGAAACCTCAACCCACTAACTACAACGCACTAAACAAGCTACAGGGCCACATTTCGGATTGTATCCTTACCTCCCTAAAGCCATCTTTCCTCTCCATTTCGTGGTCTGCCTACTTTATTTGTGTTGCTATGTATAAATTTGGTTCATTCTAGGCATAAATCGACGTTGAGCAAAATCGGTGTTTACTACATGAAAACGGCTAGCCAACATGCAATAACTGCTTGAATAATGAGAAGTCGGATTGAAAAAATGAAGGCGCGACAAGATTAAGAATTGTGTGGAAATGAAAGCTGTGTTTAGCATGTCAGTGTATCGCAGCACTTTGGATCAGGATGAGGGAAGTGGTGAATAAAGGGCTTTCAGTTCCGCTTATAATCAAACAATTACGCAAAAACAAAGGCGATGTGGCTTTTTGGTTTAGGCCTCAAACTACACCAATAAGTAGTGCCCTAACACCAAACCACATGCGATTTGAAGAGCTTACTCTGACCACTGACTACTAGTTGTTATGATGTACACAAACGACAGCAGTCCTGAAACAAAACCCTTTTATGTTCAGTTACATTCAGATGAATGTTCAATTCACTATACTTCAGGATCATCCCCATATCAAAAACCGCATGCACATGAATGCAGACGACATGATGATTGCAAGTAGAATATCTAGGCGCAGTGGTACTGGTGTCCAAATTCTAGTTCGTCACTAATCCTGTTTGAATTTCTTGGCGTATTGCCTTATGACGCCAACCAAAATACATGTACTTAGTGATAGGGAGCATAGAGGGTGATCTAGTACCACCCAACTGTTTAAACCTCGGTGGGCCATAAGGCAGCTAACAATCGACGTATCTGACATCGTTTCATAAGTGTGGGCCCATCCATACATATGTAAACCACCTTGTTTGTCAAACCTCTAGGTATATGTTCCTGGACTTGTTTATTGATCGTTGGATTACGATACAGGAATGACTGGATATAATAGCTATACAATGTACAACACTAACGAGAACTTACTTCGCAAATCATGACATGGTGGTATATCACCTGATAAATACTACTCCCGGGGAGTGTTGAAGTACGCAACAGCAGTGAGGATACTAATAAGAGCCAATATGGTTCATTTTCACGCGAAGACTGCTTAAAACTACCTCTGACATAAAGCAGGCCACGAAATCCCTGTAAACAGCAGACTAAAAAAATTGGTAGCTTTTTGCGACGACTCCTAAGTCCCCGATAACCCATATACATTGACATGATTTTTTTAACCGACTCATTCAGTAAAACTCCAAAAACCGTAAAAACTTTAATTATTACCGAAGTTACAGCAGCTGTGACTAGCACACCCGGTAATCATTGACCTTTAAGCACTTACACAAAAAGAAATGATTCGTTTGGTTTGTTTCTGCGATTGTTTCTTTTTATTCTTCCATTTTCATTATTCCGTCTTCGAATATACATTACTCAAGTCCAAACACATTTGACCTATTTTCGATGGATTTTAAACCCCGCGCCTTCTTTAAATGGCCTGTATTGGATGTAGTCCAACTTCAAGAAAGACGCTGAATATCACGTTCTAGAACAGCTGTTAAAATTTCACTTGGAAATTTTTTTGTCAATAATTTTTAATAAAATTGTGTTATATGTTATCTGGATTGATGGGAATTCCCATTTTCTGGCCAGTTTTATTGGTGTCCGCGTCAAGGAATCCCACTGCGACACTCCCTAGCATATTGGTTGCAACGATCAGTGTTCCAGGCGAACTGTAGCAAAATATCGCCATAATGAGAAAGATAGGATAGTTGAAGGGTAATATCATCTACACAAATAGTCCACTTTATTTAGATGCGCCATTTTTCAGCATGGTATCATTCAATGGAGACTTCACGTCTCAGGATATTAATTCAGCCTATTTTCGTGTGAAGAACAAAAGAATTCTATCAGTACTTGGAAATCACCTGTAAATACTAACAGAACCTTCTGT